TCTTTTCTTCTTATGACTTTCAGGGCATACATGTTGTTGGTATCTTTGTACTTAGTGAGCAAAACCTGGAATTCAAATAAATAAATTGTTGTGTTGCACATCTGTTATGTCGAACTAGACACCTGTTATATCGAACTAGAATTGGAATCCCACCATTAACTTACTTTTCCGTAGCTCCCTCTACCCAGCACAGAGCAAAGCCGGAAGTCCTCCATGCTGAGAGGAAGCCGGAGACGAATACTGCCAACGAAAAAAAAAAACATAAAAGAAATTAAAAAAGCCCCATACATTGCCCCCTCCTCAAATAAAACAAAGACAAAAATACACTTCTGCCACACATTGTAGGTTAAGTATCATACCATAGGGCCTCTGGTGATTCAGAAGATTCATGGTCACTATTATTCGGAGGGGAATCTGTCCTTTCAGGCTCACTTATTACATCTGGTGTTGCGTTTGTAATACTTTCTTTGCTATCACCGGTATATTCATGGCATTCTCTGAAATTCTAGAAAGGAAAACCATACATAATAAAACAAATGTTTTCTTTGAGAAGTGTTACTTCTCTGTAATGTATACCATTCAATGACACATTGAAAACCTTTTTCCTGTGAGAGGCTCTGTTTTCCTTTAAAGATTTAGGAAATGGCAAAGGAGGAGCAACAGAAGAATTGTTTTTTTTATTTTTATTTTGTTAATCAGATTTTTATTAGCAATTGGACACAATAAGTGTAGGGCTCGCAGGCCCTTATCAATCAAACAGTGAAGGCAGCAATTTTTAAGCATAACATAGATCTGTACATATTCAAGGGTGTTTCCTGTTCCAATACATAACAATTGACATGGTATAGTGGCGTTTATCTTCTATAGCGTGGGTTGTAGTATATTGTCGTATCAGTATGTCATGGAGCTGAGTGCTTCCAGGTAGAGCTAGAACTACATGGGCATAGTAGCGTCCATAGGTACTCTAAGAGTGTGGTTCCTTGATTGGAATGTGTCCATAATAGTCGTCGATGAGTGTATTTTGTGTGGTTCGGTGTATAGAGTGGTGGCCTAACTAGAGGTCATGTATAGGAATGTGTAATGTATGCTTGGTATGGATTACACAGTGTAGGGACGGGGAGAGGAGTGGGAAGTGATCCGTATTTGCCCAAGCCATAGTGCAGTCGGTATACCCCCCTTTGATCCATTACAACGGGCGGTGACCCCGTACATAGGACAATTGAGACGTTTCTATTGATGTGGGCAGGTTTGGTCGGTTATGCGATGCTTGTGTCCTCTTCCAGTGTGCTTGAACCCATCCGAACTGTTGAGTCTCTAGCTTGCTATCACGTTGCCGTGATGCAGTATGACAGGGGTAAAGGGTGGGGACAACCGTAAGGTTCCTTGTCTGGATCAGTATGGGTGCGGAGCGTGTGTTTTCCAAGTTTCGTTGGGAAGGGTAAAGTGTCGTTGTGTATGTGTGGGTTGTAATGTCTTGTGGCTGCCGCACACGTTCGTTGGGGGGAGGAGGCAGAGTCAGAGAAAGAAACACTGAAAGAGCGCTGGGAGAGGTAGGAGGAGCACCAGGAGAGAGCAGTATCCTGTAGACCAAAATTACCGCGAATGCGAAGAAGCTGTTGATGATCAACAGTATCAAAGGCAGCAGAGAGATCAAGGAGAATTAGGATTTATTAATGGCCACGAGATTTAGCAGCAATTAAATCGTTGCATACTTTGATCACAGCCGTTTCGACAGAATGACCAGCGCGGTATCCAGATTGAAGGGGGTCAAGCAGAGAGTTGGTTTCAAGAAATTCAGTCAGTCTGGTGTACACAACTCTTGAGGATCTTGGAGGCAAATGGCAGTAGCAAGATAGGGCGGTAGTTGGATGGGGAGTTGGATGGGGAGTTGGGGTTGAGGCTGGGTTTTTTCAGAATTGAGGTTATAGTTGCACGTTTGAAGGCTGAGGGAAATGTGCCATAGGAAACGGAGAGATTGAACATTTTAGTGAAGGGAAGAGTTAGAGAGGGAGACATGGTGCAGATGAGATATTAAGGAATAGGATTGAAGGAACAGGTGGTGGGGCAGGAGGACCGGAGCAGAGAAGAAACCTCTTCTGCTATAGCAGGTGCGAATGAGTGCAGAGTGGTGGAGGGAGTGGGGTTGGGTGATGTATTGGTTGGGGAAGGAGAGAAATTAGCGATCTCTTCTCTGATTGTAGAGATCTTCTCAGTGAAGTGAGATGCAAAGTTTGTGGTGGACAAGGTGGTAGAAGGAAGGGGAGTAAAAGATGAAGAAGAGCATTAAAAAGTGTGAAATAGGTGTTTTGGTTGATGGGACAGTGTACTTATGAGGATGTTAAAGTAATTTACTTTTGCAGCGGAGAGAGCCAGGCTGTAGGAGCGTAGCATAAATTTATAGTGGAGGAAGTCAGTAGTGATGTCGCGAACATGAAATTTTCTGTTCGCGAACTGCGAACACGAACTTCCGCAAATGTTTGCGAACACGGTGAACCCGGCGAACCGCCATAGACTTCAATAGGCAGGCGAATTTTAAAACCCACAGGGACTCTTTCTGGCGGGTGGGAGCCATAAAGATAATGAGGGGGGGACCTACAGTCCTCCCCCTCTCCGGCCCCCACCCCTGTGCGGCGGGTGGGGCCCTAAAAATAATAAGCCTTCCCCCGCCCTGCGGAGCTCAGTCTGCGCGGAGCCCTCCATGGGTGAAGATGGATTATTGTTTTGCGCTCGGGTTTTTTCTTTTTCGTCAGTTTTTTTTTTTTTGTGCTCTGGATTTTTTTTTTTTTTTTTAGTTCGACGGTTATGATGGTTTTTTATTTGGCCTTTTTTGGGGCTGAAAAATGAAGATTTGAGAAAAAAGAAGACGACGAATGGTAAGTTTAATTTTATTTAACAGGTTAGTTATTTTATTCCCCCCTCACTATTTTTTAGGGTGAAGGGGGTAGGTAGGGACTTTTTATTTTGGGGGGGTGGGTGACTAGGGGCTTGGGGACCCCTAGTCACCTTGGGGGGGGAGAATTTACTTAGGGCCCCTACCCGCAGCCCAGGGGTGGGGGCCGGGGGGGGGAGGACAGTAGGTCTCCCCCCCTCATTATCTTTATGGCCCACCATACAGGGTGAGGCGAGAGTGGCAGTAGGTCCCCACTCATTATCAGCCCCCCAGCAGCAGAGGTAGGGGCGAGTGAGCTGTGGAGTCCCCCTCAGCTATCAGCCACTTAGCCCCACCACGCCCAGCGCAGAGGCAGAAGCTGACAAGTCCCCTCGGCTATCAACCAGCCCCACCCGCCTTACGCTCAGGAGTAGAGGCGAAAAAGACAGCAAGTCCCCCCTTGTATTCATTTAAGGCCCCACCACACGCTCATAGTAGAGGTGATGCAAAGAGTTGATAGTGAGAGTGATACTAAGGTAGTAATAGTAAGTGATACTGAGTGATATTGAAGTATGCTGAGGGTGGTGAGGGGGTAATAGTGCCACCCATCCCTCACTTACCTGCTCTGTAGGTTGCCCCTCCCCCATCCCTCACTTACCTGATCTGTAGGCTGCCTCTGTGCTGCTCCCCTGCGGTTTCAGTTATCGACGAACCGTTTGGGACATCACTAATTGCCTCTCCTCATGTGAGGCCAATGAAGTATTGATTGTTACTGGTCTGTTTTGGAAATTTAAAAAATATATATATTTTTTGAACATACAATTATTAAAGGACCACTATAGTGCCAGGAAAACATACTCGTTTTCCTGGCACTATAGTGCCCTGAGTGTGCCCCCACCCTCAGGGTCCCCCTCCCGCCCGGCTCTGGAAGGGGGAAAGGGGTTAAAACTTACCATTTTCCAGCACTGGGCGGGGAGCTCTCCTCCTCCGATCCTCCTCTTCTCCTCCCCGTCGGCTGAATGCGCACGCATTCAGCCGGTCACATAGGAAAGCATTAGCAATGCTTTCCTATGGACGCTTGCATGCTCTCACTGTGATTTTCACAGTGAGAATCACGCAAGCGCCTCTAGCGGCTGTCAATGAGACAGCCGCTAGAGGAAATAGGGGAAGGCTTAACCCATTCATAAACAGTTTCTCTGAAACTGCTATGTTTATGAAAAAATGGGTTAACCCTAGCTGGACCAGGCACCCAGACCACTTCATTAAGCTGAAGTGGTCTGGGTGCCTAGAGTGGTCCTTTAAGTGATTTGTACTTGGTGGAGGATTTGTATGCATTTCCTCAATAATGCATTACCATATGGTGGTTCGGTGGAGGGGGGGGCAGGCACTACTCCAAGTTGTATAATTCCTTTTAAAGTACAAGTTGATTTCTTATTATTCCAAGGGCATCTTATCTGCTTTTAACAAATATGTAAGTTTTTTTTAAATTTTAGTGGCTCTTTATTATTTATTAACTTCAGACTAGAACTACACATATTTCTCCTTTTTAGAAATATGTGATAATCCCTCATTTACAAATGTCCAGAAAGGTTGTGTGATTTTAATATTTTTCTGACTTTTCTCGAGAAAATACTAAAATTACATGGCCTCCCGGGGCTTTCACCCAATTTTTTCCCCTTTGTTTTAGCATTTTTACTTTGGAAGCTGTTTGGTTGTTTTTACCCTATTTTGTTTACTAATACTTGCTTTAAATTGGTGTATTTCACTTTACATTGTGTATGCACTGTTGGCGAACAGTGTAAAGCTGTAACAAGGGACAGTCCAATGCCAAATATTTTTTTTTTAAATCACTGTTTATTAGCTATTCCACCAATGAAAGCATGTATGCATTTAATTATGATTTTTTTTTTTTTTTTCATTGGGGTATACGTAATAACAGCTTGCAGCTTGCAAATTTATTGCCTGCAGCCTTTGCAATCCCTCCCCTTCTAGACACGCTCAGAATTTCTGTGGCTGTCCAATCACAGAGTTCCCATTCAGCTCAATGAGGAATCTTTGCAAGGCAGATGCAGGGCGGGTGTAACAAGATTCACTTATAAAAGTGCCAATTTCTGTTGAAATCTGCACTTTTTGTAAAAGAACAAAAAAAGGCAGACTTAGTGTTTTAGTGACTGGAGTGTCTCTTTAAAGTATGCATGCAGCATCCAAATGATTACATTGTAAGTTCTCTGGCCAGATAATACACATATGCAGGGTATAAACACTATACCTGGTGTGACAAAAATTAACTCTTCCCCCCCGTTGTAGAATTACAACCCCAGTGCTGCTTTGCAAGTCTGGCCATCCCTGTGTTTTACCAAACTACAGCTGCCTGATGGTCTTGGTACCATTCATCTCTGGATGCTACAGACATCTCTGAAGAAGCTCTACTTTCCTGGATTTTGAATGTAAAATAATGGACATTATCTCGGATTTTACTCTGAGTACTCAGGATATGAATATGTATCTGTGAATATATTTAGCCCTCTTATTGCCATGGGGTTTTGGCTGCATTGATTACTATACATCTAATCCCTTGAGATTTTACTAGGATGCTTTTAATGATCCAGCTTATTTTTTGTAATTGTTTTTTTTTTTCTTCTTCTAATTGAAGATGTCACATTTCACAGGGCATGCTTGGCGAGAACATATTTTATTAAATTCCCAATTAAATTCTAGGTCTCAAAGCTCTGTAACTAAAATGCAACTTGCTTCCATTTATGCTTTTCAGTTGTACATTTCTCAAATAAAAAATGTTTCTATTAAAAAGTGTGCAAATCTATATGATGGGAGGAATGGTAAAAGGAGATAATCATGAAAAGGGTGTTGCATACTCCATTTTGAAATCTAGAAAAGGGGCATTGGCAGAATACTTTTAGGAGAGGATATCTTCTGCAGAGGTAGAAATAAAATAGTATGTGTTCTCTCTATCAGGGTGCATTGGTGCTTTTTGAAGGGCTCTGCCCAGTGTATCACTTAATTTGGAAAAGACAACAACCAGAACACATGGCAATTCCAGAGTTCCAAATTAGCAAGCTATCTACCAAACTGCTCCCTAATCACATACCATGCAATATGGCAGTCCCACATAAGGAGAACAAATTAGGGAATTGTCTACTATATAGGAGAACGATCACATTTAAGAAAAGTCAGTTTATGAATTTTGATCTTTCAGCTGTGTTTAGTAGATACCAAGTGCTTTGTGCAAATCAAGGAGCTTAATGTAACCAGTAAAGAAATCTAATATATGGCAGCTACAACGCACGTGCTAGTATCCTCACTCTTCGAACACTTACATGCAGAAAAAATGGGGTGATCCAAACCCACTCACGTAAACCTAGTGGAGCGCTAAATATAATTGAATTACCCTTAAACATTAGGGCAATACAGAGGAGGCTGTGGTATAGCCATACTTTACCAACACTGGTGTGGTTTGAGCCTATCCTTGTCAGGCTCTGCTCCATGTGAGTGTATCCATTACCCATCACACTTCAGCCTGTTCTTGGACTTTACGCTATTGTACATATCTTTCTTTCCTTTAGTATACTCTGTTAAGATCTGTTTTGTTCCCCCTATTGTTTAAGGGCAAGTCAATTATATTAAACTCCCCACTAGGTTTACATGTGTGGGTTTGTATCACTCAGTTCAGCCCCTTTTTTCTGTGTTTAGTAGATAGCTCCCTAGTTTGTCACCCTTTTGTGGGAATGCCAATTTTAAGGGTTCCAAATTATGAAGCTTATCTGTTCAAAAGCGCCCTGATTTGATATCCATTCAAAAGCATTTTTTCAGAATTTCAGAAAAACTGAAACTGAAAATTAATTGGCGACATTTTTCACTCCAGCATATCTCTATATAATAGAGAGATATCGAAAGATTTGCGGAGCACTTCCACTGCACTATGAAGGCTTGTCAGAAGTGGAGGGAACCTTAATACAATGGGGGCTACCCATGTGGATCTATCTGGTGGAGTTGTAATAATAGCTGTGTGGATGCCGTTCGTCTTTCCCGGTGAAGCTCAGCTCCGCTCACCTGGATGCGTAATTGTGTCACGTCTATGCGTTTCGCCGTGCACAGACAGCTTCGTCAATACGTTTGAAGCTATTTCAGTCCTTACCCATAAGGGCTAATAAATGGGCAGATGTCCAATCTCTTATTGGTGAGATCTTAAAGCTTGGATTTGCATAATGCAATCTCTCCCAAGCTTTTAAAAGTCCCATGATTTAAAGTGACACTGCTTGCATAATGTTATCATATATTTACTAAACACAGTGAAATCTATATTATAGTAGAACAAATTATCTATTAAGAACAAGTATCTTAAATTGAATAACAGATGTTCATACAGATGACAACTTTAGTCTGATTCAGACACCACATTTCATTAATAATAATCATACAGTTAAATAGTAAATTAAGACCTATTCATTTGATAATGAAGAAAACAATAAAACATGAATTTTTAGAATGTTCATAGTATTGATCTTATTATATATTCTATACATTGCAGAAAGAAAATGTGATATTAAACATATTAAATAATATACATATATCACCCCATTAAACCAAATGGGTGTCATAAAAAAATGTGTATATAGTGAGTTTAACACACCATGGGGCATAACATATAGCAGGGTGCCACAGTAGCCAATATTCATAGAACAGTGAAAATAAAAATGATAATAAAAATAGGAATAAGAAGATGAGGTGGATATTATAAATTTAAAATTAAGAATTTTAAATCTAAAAAATGGGGGTCGATCTAAGAAAAGATCTAATTTTAAAAATGACAAATTTCAAAATCATTATTTAATCCTTTGGGAATGTGTGTATTCAATTCAAACATCCACCTCATCTCTGTACAGCCCAAATGTTGCGTAAAATTGCCTCCTCTTCAGTTCTTATTAACCTGTTGAATACTACATTATGATTTGTACTTTGCTGGTAACAGTGCTGGGTAAATAATAGATATTTGGCCTTCGTATCGTAGACCTGTGGCACACATATGTTCAATAATGAAAAAAAATCTGAATATGGGATATTCTTAGCTTCTTAAAGTGAGGCAAAAGTAAGAGCATTGTTATCGTTAGATTACCAACAGTATCTTTATTGTGAGCTGCCCACCAAGAGAATGTTTCTCTCCCCGATGGAAACCGAGGATTTATATAGGAGTAAGTGGAGAGTTATGTGCCTTATAGACTGTAAGTTATAGACTGTAAGCTCCTTTGAGCAGGGTCCTCTTCAACCTATCGTTCCAGTAAGTTTTCTTGTAATTGTCCTATTTATATTTAAATCCCCCCTCTTATAATATTGTAAAGCGCTATGGAATCTGTTGGCGCTATATAAATACCAATAACAATAATTTAATACCATCTTGTGAGTGTTGTACCTTCCCCTGCCCCCTTTCTTGATTATTTGTAGCTGTATTACACTATTTTGTGAATATTTTTATTTTTCAGGTTTTATTATTTATCTGCTTGTATTTCACACATATTGTTATATAGAATTTAATATGTTATAATTTTTTTTATATATACATTTGGGTGTGTGTGTTTTAATTTATATAGTTTCTCCTTTTTGTTATACATTTTTGTATACTTTTGTGTATTTATATGTGTATTATATTTGTTTGTGTGTCAAGCTGGTGGGGACATGTGACCCATTGTGACTGCTCACTGTGACATCATCGTGACATCATGTAACATCACCCTTGATGCTCACAGTTTGCAGCAGTCACTAGACACGGCTTGGACAGTAGACACTGCTTAGCTGTTGTGGTGAGCAAATTGCTAGAGATGGCAAATAGAAATGTTTTCTCATGGATTCGGCGTTTGCCCTTTCGAAAGGTAAGTAAATGACTTGTTTTCTTTAAGGTTCCAATTAACCAAACCATTATCTGGGGTTTGTAACATGTTAACTCCAAGTTTGTGGGTGGGTCCATATTTAAATTAATAATATGTATCACTAGAGGGGTAGAAGCAAATCATTATTGTATTCTTATCTCAATGGCATTAAATGCTTAACTAATTTTTCTATATTCAAATCCCCATGACAATCTATGGTCTCCCCATTCCTGTATCATTTCAATTTGTTCTTTATAGTTACAGCAATTTGCAATAATGTTGCAGCTACAAGCCCATCGTTCCACTCACATCCAATTCTGGGAGTTGTTTGTCCTTGTTCATACAACTAGTTGTATATGTGATCAGAATTAGAACAAACTCATTAAGTCTATTATATGGTTTACATACACTAAGGTTTAGACATATATTAATTATCGAGGAAATTCAATAAATTAAAATTCCACAAGACAGTGGCAGCCTAAGATACTAAACAGGAAATGGTAAATGGAAAACTAAACCCCAAAGTCAATTAAAATTGATGATTTCAAAATTCTCCAACTGGACTGTAACGATAGCTTAACTATTTTACCTTCAATTTTGCCATTTGGGTTTCAATGTACTAGAATTCAGTGTTCAGTGGATGAAGCCATGAAAGTTACTCAATAGATTGGAAATCTATATAAAACATTTCCCATACTAGTTATATACAGGGTCAATGCAAGTTTTTTTACTACTTTAGGCAAAACAACATTTTGCTGACCTCCCCCCCCTCCGCCAATATGCTCCGTCCATGGTATGACATCACACTGACCATAGCGCAATATGCTCCGCCTGTGGTGTATTTAAAAGAAACACTTTTATAAACGGTCACAAATGTAACAGGCTTCATACAGCAAGTAGAGCGGCTTTAAGTTTTCTGGAGTTTTCCTATAAAGGGCCACTCAAAACACCATAACCACTACTGCTAACTACCATTAATGAATTGTCAGCTGCTACTCTCATCCAATCTCTGCCGTCTCCTTACTGGCTGTACCAATACTACTGCATTAGCTGAAGAGAAGAGAAGAGAAGAGGGAGAGAACGGTTACTGATGGCACATATTTAGTGTTAAATTATTTACAAACAATTTAACACTTAAATATAAGACTGTTCCAGGGACTCCAGGCACTATAACAACTTCAATGCGATTGAAGTAAACCCATACCTTTAGGTTGTTTGTAGTAGTTTATTTATTGCTGGGCCCTGTGGCAGCAACGAGATGGACTGTAAAAACTTTGGTTAGTTAGAGCATTTTTATTTGAATTTATTTGGGTTTCTGATTGTTTTTGCCATTTCAGGGCGCCAGACGCAAGAAATGTGATGACACTGAGCAGAAAGGAGAGGACCCTTCGGGTATGTTAAAACATTGTGTGTGTGGCAGTTATATCTATCTTTGGGGAGCCTGGTAACAATTCTCCTAGCAGGACATTCCTTCTTCTATAACTTTAAGAATAGGTTTCTGTTCATTTTTTTACCAGGAAGGACACATTCAGATTTCTCTGGTTTGATTGCTTCCTGCAGAGTTTGTACAAAATATACAATGTTGACATTTCTGGGACATTAGATTGCAGAGTTAATATTTTGGGGAAGGTAGATCCATTTGTATATATTCAGACGCCATTTCCATCTTGTGTGACTCTTCTAACCCCCTTACCCCTTGTATCCCCCCACCCATAATGCACTACTGTCTTAGTCCAGAAAAGATCTGGAATGTTCCCATTCTTTTTAATGACAAGGCTAAGCATATCCCATAAACTCAGCAGGTGTATGTAGTTCAGCACTTGGCAGTAGTTTCATTCACTAATAGTCATGAAGAAACTGTTTATTGAGCTGCGTACTCCATTAATGTTTATAACTCAATGGAACCAGTGGTTGCCTCTCATGTGTAAACATAACAAATGCTCCCCCCAAGAAATGTAATGTAAGTGCATTTCGATATCAATATTTATATATTGCTATCAAAATTTATGTAAAATTAAATGACATATATATAAAGTATATATTTACGTATTATTTTTACATAATGATGTGATTTTATTGATTATAAATTGGGGGACCTGCCTGACAACCCAGGCAGAAAGTCCAGTGAATTCAATTTACAAGCCCTATATTTAACCTTGTAACTTTCCAAAACACCGTAAAACCTGGACATGGGGGCTACTGTTGTACTTGTGAGACTTAGCTAAAAACAAATATGTATGTTTTAAAAGAGTAAATCATTTAATGACGATATCATCAGTGAAAGTGCAGTTTTTCTGTGAAAAATGCAAATGTTTGGACAGGGTTTGTGACTAAGTGGCTCCTAAAAGATTGGATACACCCCATTTGAAAAACCCTGGGTTGTCTACGTTTGCAAATGGTTTGCCATGATGGGGGTAATTCTCATTCCTGGCCTGCCATACTGCCTTAAATGCAACTAAACTAACAAATTTCAAGGTGCAAATACTGCAAAGGGGGAAGTACTATATGTAACCCTGTAACTTTCCAAAAATCCATAAAACCTTTATGTGGCTGAACATAAATATGTGCATTTTATTGCACTAAAAGTTAACAGTATTATGACATTTAAAGGTAAAATGCCACAGAGAACTTTTTAATTTCTCAAACTTTTTTTTAGATTTTATTCATATTAAATTATGTTTCATACATAAATAGTTTATTTTTGGGAAATGAAAACCCTCTTTCTCTTGAACAAAATTGTATGTAATACGTGTGGGTGCACTTAATATGAAAGAGGTAAGCTATGGTTAAACAATAGATACCTCAAATTCAAGGTTTTGTTTTGAACAGAACTTGGATAACTTCCTCCATCCTTAAGGGCTTAAAAGATATAGGACAAGGCAGGGAATAATATTATGTTGTAGTTATAATTATCAGAAGACAAAAGCAGGGATAGGGAAACTTTGGGCACCAAAACATTTGAGAGCACATAACATATTATGGTACATGAAGTGTCTGAATAAAAGTGTATGTATTAAAAGATCCTATAATTTGTCATGTTGCCTTACTTGTATTGTGTGATATTTCAAACCAGTGAATGCACAATATTGTCTGTCTACATTGTGATTTGACTACTGTCTTTTTTTTATTATTTTTATTTATAGAGTGTCCAATTATTCCAAACTCTCCTAAAATTGCCAAGGGCTCAGCTGTAAATGGTAGTTTTTCCTCAATCGATCTGAACTCTCCTAAACGTATCGTATTGGCAGCTAATAGCGGGTCATCAAAGGACATCCCTAAACATGTAGCTCAACCGGATATTGATAAAGTTAGGGAGCAGATCAAACAAGAAATTAGAAAAGAACTTAAAATTACAGCAGGAGCCAGAAACATGGTAAAGGCTACAACCAAGAAAAAACATCTTGCAAAAGTCAACAAGTTTCTCAAAACATCACAAAAAAAACTGGATGATCTTTACATTAAACTTCAGGAGCGCAATGCGCATATTGTTGTGCCAGACGCAGAAGGTACATTCCAAGACTTTGTGTTTCCTTGTAATGCGTGTGTGTATGTGCTTGTTTATTGTAAATATATTTCAATCATTTCCTGAGAACATGGATAAATACTGTGTTACGCATCTAACATGTAAATGCAACCTACAGATATATAGAGGAACGTTAGCAGTACTGTTGTTTTTTATTTTATAATCAGGTGGATGTTTTAGAGACTTCAAACAGCAAATCATAATTTTGGATTAGTTACAGCACTCATAATATGCTGTATGAGATTGTAGACTGACTTATAGAAAAGATCACTTACTGAGCATCAGATCAGCCACATTATACAGCGTGAAAACGTGCAGAATAAAATAAATACTGGCTGAGGAAAGCTTAGCCTTGTTAGTTTTACAGAAACATAAAACAAAAATTAGTGAGCTCTGTTTAGATGGGAAATCTCTCACCCAATCTCGGTAATTGCATTATTCCCTATGAGAGCCTATATGGGGGGGAGTTTGTGAAAACACACAGAGTTACAATGTGGCTTATAGAATGACCCCATTTATGTCGTGACTGGCTAATAATAATGGCAATCTCACTGACATATATAGAAGCTGGAATAGTTAGTGGATGAGTTTATGACGTGATGTCATCAAGCACGGGGGACGTTTAGCTGCAGTGATTTTTGTTGTTTTTGTTGATTTTCTGCTGCTCTCAGGTTTTGTGTAGATTACAATATCTTTACTTACAGATGTTACTGTTATTGCCTTTTTTATTTATTAAGTGAAACTGTCTGCCGACATTTCTAAATTCTGTATTTTTTTTCTTGTTACTAATTTCCGTGATGTCCAGAGATCTCAGCTGCTCCTAAAGATGACACCAGCTCCCAGGCAGATAACGCGAAGCTGACTGCTTTGCAGAAACAGCTGAGCATTGAGCTGAAGGTGAAACAAGGAGCGGAGATTATGGTCGGTGCATATTCAAATGGGCATTCCAAAGTAAGTTGGTTATATTTAAATAAGAGACAGAAAAAATTCTTTAAACTTTTTTTTTTTGGTGTGGGAGTGGTGGAAACACATTGTACAATGCATAAGTTTTTTCAGCCCAACAGCATTTTATCTGATTTAAGCTAATAATATGCTGGTGATATTTGTTCCTGGAATCAAGAGATGCGATAGAAATTAAATTTCCATGAGTTTGCCGACACCATCTCAACTATTTAGTTGAAGGCACAAGCTTTTCTTGATCGGCCATTAATTATTTTTAATATTTGTAATTGCAAAGCATGCAACCAATGTGTATTTATTTCTCTTTGTAAAGATTATAATGTTTATCTTTTTCCATAATGCATTTGTCTATAATTGAAGATTATTCTAGCATTAGTGTACTTATAATCTTAATTTTAGTAATGACAGGAGGCGAGTATTTTGCATTAAGCTCTCTTTACTAACTCCACATAGCAGTAAAGAAAAGTGAAAACATTAACCAATCAAAATGCAACAGGAGGTATAGTATTCACAGTGATGAGGCTCCTCCCCCTCTTTCGAAAGCGACATCATGAAAAAGTTCCAAAAGAGCTAAAGTCTTGTAAAATGCACCAACGGGTGACTTTCCAATAAACAAAATTTTAATGGCTGAAGGAAGGTTCAAACGTGTCCATCCTGAGCATGAACTGTAACGCCACGAAGTTACTCTGAAAGAGAACGTGAAATAGGTTAGATACCGGTCTGGAAACTGTTTATAGTAACGTTAACGGCCCAACACAATCTCACAGAAATGTTACACTATCGAATATCAATGACTGACGATAAACGACAAGTAATGTTAGAAATAAACAAGATTCGAACATATTCCTATATCTAGGAGGAGCAAGGAAGATAGAGGTAAAGAAGGAATACATAGAATGTAGGTATACTTATGTGAGTCCCTTCTCCCCCAAGGGTGGGGAGAGTGGGAAAATACTCGCCTCCTGTCATTTTAAAATTAAGACTAGAAAAGCTACAATTTCAGGGGAAATTGTGTGAAGTGTTCTTGCCTCCACCAGTAGTCTACAACTGGAGTGGGCGGAGTAACTGTTATCATTTATATAGCACATTTAATTGCAACGTTGTTGCACAGTTACATTAAACCATACATTTATAAAAACATTAGCAGGTGTTCAAAAGGCCCTGTCTATGACATCACTTGCTGCTGCAGCCTGACAGGTCAGAGTATTTTGGCGGTTGCCATCTTCAAACGGTCGTATTTTAAAAACTATAACTCCTACAGCGAAGAGCTTTATATTGTGAGAATCACAAGACCCAGACCTACATTTTGATGCATAGTATGTCTCTGAAGTATTAAAAACGAAGGCACAGTCGCAGTTTAGAAATTGCACTTCAAATTTGAGCTTTGTAGAGTGAAGTTTCAATGAATGTCAATGGACAGCGTTAGTTGCAAACAAATGATTATATTGTGAAAACTATCAGGACTATGGCTTAGCCGTTGACATGTTTAGTGGCAGCAGGGATAGCTCAACGTTTTGATATAAGATTTGTGTAGGTGGGCCTGAAAATAAGGGAGTGGTGGCAGTTTAGAAATCATGTACTGATTTTTCAGCTTTTGCCAGCTCCCACTCTAGCTTTGCCATTCATTCCTATGGGACAAATTTCGCCACAAGAACGACGATATTCCGTGAACCATTCGGCGAAACGTTCCACAAAGTAATAGCAATCCGATCGGGAACAATCTGCACGCTTTGGTAAATTTTTGTCTATGTAGTGTAAAAACTGTGGGAGGAGTTAGGGTGGCAAATTTTGCTATAATAATAAGAATAATAATAACTAGAAAAGTTACAATTTCTGGGGAAATTGTGTGAAGTGTTCTTGCCTCCACCTGTAGTCTACAACTGGAGTGGGCGGAGTAACTGTTATCATTTACATAGCACATTTAATTGCAACGTTGTTGCACAGTTACATTAAACCATACATTTATAAAAACATTAGCAGGTGTTCAAAAGGCCCTGTCTATGACATCACTTGCTGCTGCAGCTTGACACAGGTCAGAGTATTTTGGCGGTTGCCATCTTCAAACGGTCGTATCTTAAAAACTGTAACTCCTACAGTGAACAGCTTTATATTGTGAGAATCACAAGACCCAGACCTACATTTTGATGCATAGTATGTCTCTGAAGTATTAAAATTGAAGGCACAGTCGCAGTTTAGAAATTGCACTTCAAATTTGAGCTTTGCAGAGTGAAGTTTCAATGAAAGTCAATGGACGGCGTTAGTTGGAAACAAATGATTATATTGTGAAAACTATCAGGACTATGGCTTAGCCGTTGACATGTTTAGTGGCAGGAGGGATAGCTGAACGTTTTGATATAAGATTTGTGTAGATGGGCCTGAAAATAAGGGAGTGGTGGCAGTTTAGAAATAATGTCCTGATTTTTCAGCTTTTGCCAGCTCCCACTCTAGCTTTGCCATTCATTCCTATGGGACAAATTTCGCCACAAGAACGACGATATTCCGTGAACCATTCGGCGAAACGTTCCACAAAGTAATAGCAATCCGATCGGGAACAATCTGCACGTTTTGGTAAATTTTTGTCTATTTAGTGTAAAAACTGTGGGAGGAGTTAGGGTGGCAAATTTTGCTATAATAATAATAATAATAACTAGAAAAGTTACAATTTCTGGGGAAATTGTGTGAAGTGTTCTTGCCTCCACCTGTAGTCTACAAAAGGAGTGGGTGGAGTAATTTATCATTTACATAGCACATTTAATTGCAACGTTGTTGCACAGTTACATTAAACCATACATTTATAAAAACATTAGTAGGTGTTCAAAAGGCCCTGTCTATGACATCACTTGCTGCTGCAGCTTGACACAGGTCAGAGTATTTTGGCGGTTGCCATCTTCAAACGGTCGTATCTTAAAAACTATAACTCCTACAGTGAAGAGCTTTATATTGTGAGAATCACAAGACCCAGACCTACATTTTGATGCATAGTATGTCTCTGAAGTATTAAAATTGAAGGCACAGTCGCAGTTTAGAAATTGCACTTCAAATTTGAGCTTTGCAGAGTGAAGTTTCAATGAAAGTCAATGGACGGCGTTAGTTGCAAACAAATGGTCATATTGTGAAAACTATCAGGACTACAGCTTAGCCGTTGACATGTTTAGTGGCAGCAGGGATAGCTCAACGTTTTGATATAAGATTTGTGTAGGTGGGCCTGAAAATAAGGGAGCGGTGGCAGTTTAGAAATCATGTCCTGATATTTCAGCTTTTGCCAGCTCCCACTCTAGCTTTGCCATTCATTCCTATGGGACAAATTTCGCCACAAGAACGACGATATTCCGTGAACCATTCGGCGAAATGTTCCACAAAGTAATAGCAATCCGATCGGGAACAATCTGCACGTTTTGGTAAATTTTGGTCTATGTAGTGTAAAAACTGTGGGAGGAGTTAGGGTGGCAAATTTTGCTATAATAATAAGAATAATAATAATAATAATAATATATATGTGAGATAACATTAAGTGGTCTTGCTATGCAAGAACACTTAATAATAATATATATGTGAGATAACATTAAGTGGTCTTGCTATGCAAGAACACTTAATATATATGTGAGATAACAATAAGTGGTCTTGCTATGCAAGAACACTTAATAATATATATGTGAGATAACAATAAGTGGTCTTGCTATGCAAGAACACTTAATTATAAGTATACTAACGCTAGCATAATCTTCAATTTTACCACATGAGAGGAGGCTTCCTATTTTGTATTTTTTAACGCTGATGCAGGAGAGACGTGGCTGCCCCCGAGCTCGGGCGGAAGTAGAAAGTCCAAAAGGTTGATTCTCGCGACCAATCAGCGGAACGTAGGATATCCACCAGTGAGGCACCCGCCGAGAAAGCCGACGAAGCCACCGCCCCGCGAACAGAGTGAGCTCCGAAGACCTCGTCCACACCCGCCAGTGAAAGAATCCATCTTATCCATCTGGTTAGGGTGGTAGCCGAGATCGGTACATGAGGTCTAACGTACAACACCAATAGTTGGCCGGAAGAGGAGACCCGGAGCAGGGATGTGACCTCCATGTACCTATGTAAAGTAGACACCACACAAAGTTGCGGATCGGTAGGGAAAAAGGGGTAGAAGACTGACGTGGAGTCCGATTTCGTACAACGCGATACTCGAAAGGTAACACCCTCTGGGGAGACCGAAAAGGCGTCGATGTCAAATGCCCGCACGTCCGATACCCGGCGGAGCGAGACTAAGCAAAGTAGAAGCGTCCGTTTGGCTGATAGCTGTCGGAGGGAGAGTCTGTCGTTATCTGGCCAGTCCCTCAAAAACTGTAGGACAACTTCAACGTCCCAAATGCGGGAGTATTTAGGTCTCGGGTGTCTTTCCATTCGGATGCCCCTTAGGAGTCGGCATATCAGTGGGTCTTTCCCAATGGGTATACCCAGAACCGGTACATGGGCCGCCGAAATTGCAGAGCGCACAACGTTGAGGGACCGGTAGGACCGAGCCGCGGAAAAAAGATAGGAAAGAAAATTCAGGATGGCCGTTATAGGTGCAGTAAAGGGATAGAGGTTCCCTTCACTGCACCAAGAAGACCAGGAATTCCAAGCTGATAGGTAACATTGTCTGGTTCCTGGTGCCCACGAATCCCATATAAGATCTCTAGCTATTTGAGACAATTCGTTGGTCTGCCAGGCACCCCTGAAAGAGTCCAAGCCACCAAGGTGAGACGGTCTTCCAGGATGTGAGGGTTCCCTTTCGGATCTGTGAGGAGCGTTGGATAAGATAGTATGAGGAGGGGATCCATGTAGGATGACGCTAGGAGATACGGGAACCAGGGTTGGGCCCGCCATAGAGGAGTGATGAGGAGCAGAGACCCACGTTGAGTCTTCAAGTACAGAATCGTCCTCGTTATCATGGCAAACGGGGGAAAAGCGTACGCTCCCGTGGACAGCCATGGTTGGAGAAACGCATCTACTGCCCTGCTCTCCCGGTCTGGGAGCAAGCTGAAGTATTTGGCTGTCTGCTTGTTGTTGCATGACGCGAACAGGTCGAGGTGGGGAGGTCCTCTCCTGACCGAGAGGCGATGGAAGATCAGTGGGTCCAGTCTCCAGTCGCTGCTGTCCCGCCAGTGGCGCGAGAACCAGTCTGCTGTCAGGTTGTCTCTCCCGGGAGATATTCCGCCATGAGGGAGATTTTTCGGGGCAGGCAAAAGTCGAAGATCTCCTTCATATTCTCTGAGAGGAGTCTGGACCGTGCTCCTCCCAAGCAGTTGATGTAGCGGACTGATGAGATGTTGTCTATCCGGAGGAGAATGAAGCAGTCCATCCTGTCCCTCGCTAGGCTGCGGATCGTGAACGATCCCGCCAGGAGTTCTTGACAGTTTATGTGAAGGTCGATTTCTTGAGAAGTCCAGGCTCCTCCTGTCGATCTGCCTTTGCCCACGGCGCCCCAGCCCCAGAGGCTGATTCCAGGCCTTTCCAAGCCTCCATGCTGTCCAACCACCATCCGAGTTCTTTCTTGACTTCCTCCGTTACCGGAATGGTTTGGTCGTAGGAAGGGTTCTGGCGAAGAAAGGAGGCCTTCAGATGTTGCATTGCTCTGTAGTGGAGCGGACCTGGAAAATTGCCTGGAAAGACGCGGACAGCAGGCCCACTATCCGAGCCAGGTTGCGGAGTGGAATGGTATGGCAGCGAATTACTCTGCGTAGTTCCTTTCTGATGCCTGTGATCTTTGATGTCGGTAGCCGTAGTGTGCTGGACTTGGAGTCTATCTCGAAGCCCAAGAATTGTACCATCTGGGCTGTAGATATATCGCCGACTTCTGGTAATTCACCACAAAGCCTAGGGATGTCAGGAATTGTGTGGTATAGCGTGTGTGTTGCGTCAGTCTGGACCTGTCAGAGCAAACCAGTAGCAGGTCATCCAGGTAGATAATTCCGAATTCCTTGTGCTCGTAGATGTGCAACTACTGGCTTCAGCAGCTTGGTGAAGCACCATGGGGCCGAGCTGAGGCCGAAGGGGAGGCATGTGAACTGCCAGGGTCGGCCTTGCCATCGGAACCTGAGGAATTGGCAGCAGGAAAGATGGACGGGTACTGACAAATAAGCATCCTTGAGGTCCAGTCTTGTGAACCAGTCCCCGTCTTGGAGGAGGTCTCTCAGAAGGTGAATGCCTTCCATCTTGAAATGCCTGTACATTACAGAAGCATTGAGCCTCCTCAGATTCATGACAGGACGGAAATCTCCGGATTTCTTTTTCACCAAAAATATGTTGCTAAAGAAACCCCTTTGGTCGTGAGCAGGCTCGATTGCTCATTTCGACCTGAGCTCTCGTAGCTCGCCATCGATGAGTTGGTGGTCTTCTGTGGAGCACTGTATGGGGCGCGGAGGGACGGTCTGGTATGGGGGGTCTACGAAGTCGATGATGTAGACCCGAACCGTCTGGAGGATCCATGTGTCTGCAGAGATGGCTGTCCAGTTCTGAAAAGACAGAGCGATACAACCTGCAGTATATGGGGTAAGTGGTACTTGAGACACAAGATTGCTTACATGTGGGGAAGCATGCTCTGCCACGGCAGCGTGGTCCTCTGCTTCGGTCGGCTGCTCTGGTGTAGGAGAAGGGTTGCCTGAAGCCCACTTCCGGGTAGAAGGGTTGAGGTCTATGTGAGCGGGGGCCAGAGGGCCAAAACCGGCTGGCTACTTGGCCCCTTTAGCGGCCAGCCTGTCCAAAAACACCCCGACTGGGGTAGCTCCTGAAGACGCGTTTCATAGAACTCTGAGCCTTATTGAGGGACGTAAATATATTAACATGTTTGTTTAGTTCTTTCAGGAAGGCTTCCCCGAAAAGTTTCCCCTGTGCCAGCGGCTCCAACTCCTTGGTGCCCAATTCCACCAGCTTCCCGTCAATGCGGAGCAACGCTGCTTTACGCCTCTCAGAGGAGAGGGCTACGTTGGTGTTACCAACAAAACAGAAGCACCTTTGTGCCCATTCTTTTATGTCATGCGTCCACTCCTTTACCATGCTGGCATCGAACTGGTCAGCCTTTGTAAATGCGTTGTCCGCCAAATACATGATGCAGAAAAGTGGGCCAATGGAGTCTAGCAGTTTGTCCTGAACTCCGTGGAATCCCTTCTCCACACCTCTCCGGGGGTCACGGCCACCCCGAGACATGAAGGTGGTCATGACCTGGTCGAACTCCGGAGTTTGTGCCACGTGGTCGGGAAGCGAAGGGCGAGGGCATTCAGAGCGTAGGCGGTTGCGCACCGTTTTGTCCAGCGGTTTGTGGAGCCACCGGTGCATAAATTTAGAGAGGTGTTCGGGGGGAGTCCAGTCCCCAGAGTGTGGGTGGCGGATATTACGATGGTCGAAGAGACGTTGTCCTGTGGTGTCCAGGATGGTATCCCCTTCTTCTTGGGCAGGTGCGAGGTCGTACGACAGTTGGATGTCGTCCAAGAAAGTGCCTCGTAAGAACCCAGTACGAGAGCCAGTGTCCGAGCCCCAGTCATCGTCCTGTGAATCAGAATCCGTGGCCTGCCACTCGTCCAACACGGCCATGGAACGTGTGTGTTCTTCCCACTCATCCGAGGAGTATATATCTATGTGTATTTAGGTGGCACAAAATCCAGCTGATCTCAGTGTGGTTAAAGTGGCCGAACCACTGAATAGGGCTAGCAGCCGTTATAGCAGGTTAGTTTAAGGTGTAGCACGAACCTGATGACCCCTGCCTAGCTGGAGCCTTTGCAATCCGTGTGTATTGCGGTCGGGAGATCGAGGATGTCCTAAAATGGCAGCCGTGAATCTCGCGAGACGCGAGATCCAATATGGCCGCTGGAGAGACGGGAAAGGGTCTTGAATGCGGCTGAGAGGCCGCGAGGAGAGCGGAGGGAGGAGGGTGAACGTTACCCTCAGAGCAGTTAAATAAACCAACGAACTGATAGGGTGCTTGATAAAAAACAAAGTGGAAATAGAAAATAATTGAGGATATAATAGCGAAAATACCAGGATTAAGTAAAAAGGTCCCTAAAGGGCAGGGGGGGGAGAAGCAGGGGAGAATCCCCGAGGGAAGAGGAATATAACTGAAAAAGGGGGGACAGAAAAAACCCTAAAAGACCGATGGGGAACACCCCAGCACATAAAAAAATCTATAGAAAAGGCAGTAAAAGAATACAAAACACCATAAATCAATACAATTAAAGGGACACTGTAGTCACTATAAGCATTTCATCTCTTTGAATTGGTTATAGTGCCTGGAGTACCCTGGCACTGTCCCTTCATTCAGTGTTGCACCATGTTCGTGCAGTATGCCACAAAATAAGAGTCCCTGGCCACCCACAGTCCGGCCCCTTCAGTATGTGTAGCTATGGCAGAGATTACACACTTCCTTGTTGTCATACCCACTCATACCGTCAGTTGGAACTCTGACAGGCTAAAAGCAGTCAGCTGACACTCTCAGCCAATCACAGCTGCCCATTTCTGCTCAGGCTAATACTTCCTTATTAGCCAAAGCAGCACAGAGGGGATGGATTGCCGGGGACTCTTGTTTAGCATTAAAACATTAAAACTTTAAAAACTGTTTAATGCTGATAGAAATGATGGGACCAGAAGACTTCAGACACTATAACCAGTTTAATGAGATGAAGCAGATACAGTGCCTACTGTGTCCCTTTAAGGGAAGAGCCAAAACTCTGACATGTCTGCGGATGGAGCAGTATTTAAAGAGGGGGAGGAGCCTCATCGCTGTGAATACTATATCTCCTATTGCATTTTGATTGGTATGTGGAGTTAATAAAGTGAGTTTAATGCAAAATAGGAAGCCTCCTGTCATGTGTCTATAATTTAGTTAGCCTGCATAGAAGCAATCTTTTGTTCAACATCTGGGTGAAAATCATTGTTTAAGGGGTAATAATTAGATCAAAACATAGTCCATGTCTGTCCTGGGGTGTGAGCAGTCAGGGCTTATTTCCTAGAATAGGGTAATTGAGGCTACACTTCTTCCTACGTCTCACTCAATTATCTGACTATTCTTATTGCTGTTACAGAATGTCAAACATCTTACTGCTGTCCAGAAAATACTACAAGACAGCGAGAACAAAATAGACAGTTTACGCAACTTAATTCTGGAAGAAACATCTATCATTAAAGGTAAAGGTTCAGTAACCTCATATGTAGTTTAAAAGAAGATTTATGGGTAACAATGAAAACTGTTCAAAAATGGTTTGACTACTTATAATGGGATCCAGGGCACTCCTGGCACCATAACCACTACTGCAAGATTTAACTTTCTTACAGCAAGGTATGAGAGAGCGGTGTGTATCCCGTAGATCTCTATACTCCAAGGATTTGTGAGGAAATGTACAGATTATTATTATTATTATTTATATAGCGCCAGCAAATTCTGCAGCGTTTTACAGTGGGTGGACTAACAAACATGTAATTGTAACCAGACAAGTTGGACACACAGCTACAGAGGTGTTGAGTGCTCTGCACAATGAGCTTACATGCTAGAGGGAGTGGGGTAAAGTGACACAAAAGCTAAGGGAAGTATAGGGAAGTAATGACAGTTGCAGGAGAGGAATCAGTCGGGAGCTACTAACAGTTTAACCGATATGATTTTATGAAGTGGGCTTTTAATGATTTTTTTGAAGGAGTGGAGACTGGGTGTCCGTCTAACGGAGAAGGGAAGGGGGTTCCACAGGAACAGTGTAGCCCTAGAAAAGTCTTGAAGGTGAGCATCAGAGGTGGGAGTACGGACAGAAGATAGACGTCCTCTTAGAACTGGGAGCAAAGGGAGTTATACCAACACGCAAATACATTTTATATTATTTACAAAACATATATCTTAGACATCTGTGCATGAGCCGGTTAAAGCACTGGGAATGTTACTGCCTTAGAACTGGGAGACCAAGGTTTGAATCCTGGTTTAGACCTTGCCAGTAAGTGTCTGTGGGTAGGATTAATTACTCAATGGATGTACGTTGAGCAGAAACTTCATCAAACCTAAATATCCCCTTTCTATAATTGTAAACCACTGCAGAATATGTTGGTGCTATATAAGGGATAATAGTAATATCCTGAAATAATTTGCAAAACATTTTACAAGATAAATTCTTGTTAGTCAGTCCCTTTAAAAAATTGCTTTTATATCAAATAGTTCACTGAGAGATATTAAAACTTACATATTAAGGTGGAGATCAAAGCCTGACTTAGTGTAAATCAAACATGCATTCTGCTAGGTGCTTTAAGCCATTTATATCAAATCAAGATCAATAACCAGAATATAGTCAGAGAAACTAATAACAGACACCTACCTGCACCTGGAAAAATACAGAAATCTATGCTCACCTGGAAACAGACAGATGGAAAAGACACTTCCTGAGTCTCATGCCAACACACCAGTCGGGATGGTCATCAATGCTGACATGAGAGGGACTTACAAATATGTGAAATTCCAAATAGTGACCTTTGGGTTGAAGGCTTATGGGAGCATAATGTCTTCTTTAATGACATATCAAAGCTTCTGAATATAAAGGGCATTAAAATATATAGAGATATAATGAACATTCTAAAAACAAGGCAGCTCTATGATTAACATGGACAATTCTTAATTGTTCTCCGATGAGAGCTGAATTACTGCAATAGTCTCCTTCGAGAAAGGCAACTTCAAATGTGCCCAGCACTGTGAATTTATTCGCTAAGAATTGTGGGACATCATATTCCAAATGTTGACAGGCAGGTGATGCATGCGCATCAATTTTAACAGGCATCCCGCAGGAGGTGCATGCTTCATTTCAGCTATACGGTATATAAACAGGATATATTTTTTACATATAAGCATTATTAGTGTTTGAAAAACTAATTGATTCTTCTATAAAATGAAATATCATAAAGATCTATGATTGGAGATTGTGGTTCTTGTTTTATTCTCTTTAGCATTGAGGTGAAAATAATTGGAGTATCATTGATCACTGTGAATGATATACAATACTTACATTATGTTATGTCTAAACCTTTACAGAAGAAACATCGTTACCAGTTCCGGAGACGGACATTAATATTCTTGCCCCTTCGTTATTGGTGACAGACGTACAGGAGCCAGAGCCGGCTGGGTATTCACTTTATATCTTTCTAATCCCAGTTCACAGTACTATACATGTTGAATTATCTATAAGTCTGACATAGGTTTGCCTACTGCTGTCTACACATTTCTTAGCATGTGTATCAGTCACAGATTCATTTTATAATGCTGTCTACATGTTGCATACTTGTGACAAGTCGCCAGATCTCCTCCTCTTTGCAGGACTCTGTGAATTCTGCATTCTGCCAGGCAGGGTGTGAAAGTACTTTGGATGTCACACAGGAATGCAGAATTCTATACGGTGCAAAAACATAGAAATCTGCAACCCTAGTTATATGTATTATTGGGGTCTCCTTTAAATAATGCACTGTATATAGCAGCATCAATGTCTAAAATATAATGAGTATATAGATCTGATAATCTGCCATAATATTTTAATGATTCAACCAGATAAACTATTATTGTCTTCCTTCTGATAGCGATATTCCAAACTTTGATATGAAACCAATTAACCCACCGGATGTGGAGTTTGACTCAGAGCCACCTCCTGCTCCAAGTCAATCATTTCTACACAGTGATCAGAGTTGGTTTTCATTCCATATTGAGATCCCGGACATACTGGCTCAGGTAAAGATGTGCTGACTTTATTTTGGTTGTTTTTAATCCTTAAACTTAAATGTACACTCTACGTAGAATAACCATTACAGCTTAGTGCAGTAGTTCTAGTGCAGAGAGTCTGTGGCTAATAACCCACTTTTTTGTCAAACCATTTGAGAGCATTTTGACAGTGGACTTTGGCTAGCATCCAGTGACTGCACCCTTCGCCACAGTGATAATGTGGAATTTACATTTTTGCGCTATAAATGTTATGTCTGTCCAACCGGGACAGCTGTGGGGTTAGCCTGAAATTGTCAGCCAATCAATGCCATCCAGGTTGCATAAAATTGGTATTGATACAAAAATGTTAATTGATCACTATCAGTATGGCTGAGGAGGGGGGAGGTATCTAGATATTTGGGAGAATCTTATTGGTTTGACATTAAACCAGTGATATCAGCAGGAGACTCTTGGCAATGTAACTACTACAGTGAGCTAGAATGGTTGTGGTGCTTACATAGTTACATAGTTACATAGTTACATAGCTGAAAAGAGACTTGCGTCCATCAAGTTCAGCCTTCCTCACATTTGTTTTTTGCTGTTGATCCAAACGAAGGCAAAAAAAAAACAGTTTGAATCACTTCCAATTTTGCAACAAGCTAGGGAAAAAATTCCTTCTTGACCCCAGAATGTCAGTCAGAATTATTCTTGGATCAAGCAGTTATTACCCTACATTGAAAGATTATATCCTTGAATATTCTGTTTTTGCAAGTATGCATCTAGTAGCTGTTTGAACATCTGTATGGACTCTGATAAAACCACTTCTTCAGGCAGAGAATTCCACATCCTTATTGTTCTTACAGTAAAAAAACCTTTCCTTTTCCTTAGACGAAATCTTCTTTCTTCCAGTCTAAACACATGACCTCGTGTCCTTTGTAAAGTCCGGTTTGTGAATAAATTTGCACACAATGGTTTGTATTGGCCCCGAATATATTTGTATAATGTTATCATAACCCCTCTCAGGCAAAGTCATATCTTGCTCACATTGTATTATTTTACAGAGCTTTGTGCCATCTGCAAAAACTCAAACATGACTTTCAATGCTTTCTTCAAGATCATTTATAAACATGTTAAATAGAAGGGGTCCCAGAACAGACCCCTTACAATTCCCTTTTAATCATTATTTTTCCCACATTCACTGCTTCTCTCTTTACTCCCAGTAAACCTAGCTTCCTTTAGCTTTCTCTACAATTTTATTGTGTCTGACTTTCTTTTCTAGAATTCTGGAGATATCTATGAATGTAGCATTGATAACAGATACATCATTACACCAGATGAAATGAGTCACCCTAATTGTTCCAGTCTGGATAATAGTCTTCCTGAACATTCTGAGAACCTATCACATGACCACTTACCTGCTATGTGGACTCAAGACCAGCTTCTTCTCAAATTGCAGGACATCCAGCAACACTCTGTGCAATCTGGGAAAGTAAGTTTAAGGTGGAATCCCAGTTCTAGTTCGATATAACAGATGTCTTAACAAATGCAGGACAGTGCAACACAATCAATGCCATCAGATTGTATAAAATTGGTATTGATAAAGAAAATGTTAATTTCTCATTATTTTACAACAAACTAGAAAAAAAAAGTCACTCATATCTCCTAGGATCAGGGAGCTATTTCCTTATCCCTATATTTAACATGTGTTTGTGAGATGTGAACAATCAAATTAAATGTAGAAATTCACACCTCTTTATCCTGTAACTGGGCGCCTCCATCTTAGCGCCCTGTCAATCATTGTTAAAAGCTCCGCCCTTTGCATCTGGCAATCAGCACAGAGAGAGCACCCAGAGAGGAGGCGAAGTGAAACAATGTTTCTATGTCCTCTTCATTTGCATTGTGTGCCCTTGCATGTGCCAGATAAAAAGGAAACAGAACATCTCCAGAAAAAAAGGTTAACATGTAGGTGATTTCAGTCTTTTATTCAATGGCGCCAGCTCAGAGTAATCACAATAAAACCCAACATTTATTGTGTCTGACTTTCTTTTCTAGGATTCTGGAGATAGCTATGAATCTAGCAGTGATAACAGATTCATCGTGACACCAGATGAAATGAGTCACCCTAATTGTTCCAGTCTGGATAAAAGTGTTCCTGAACATTCTGAGGAACTACCACATGACCACTTACCTGCTATGTTGATCCAGGATCAGCTTCTTCTCAAATTGCAGGACATCCAGCAACGCTCTGTGCAATCTGTGAAAGTAAGTTTAAGGTGGAATCCCAGTTCTAGTTCGATATAACAGATGTCTTAACAAATGCAGGACAGCTCAACACAATCAATGCCATCAGGTTGTATAAAATTGGTATTGATACATAAATGTTACTTCCTCACTATCAGTATGACTGAGGAGGGGGGAGGTATCTAGGTACTTGGAAGAATCTAATTGGTTTGACATTAACCCAGGGATATCACCAGTACACTCTAATAGTAATCAATGTAACTACTACAGTGAGCTATAATGGTTATGGTGCTTACAGTTCCCCTTTAATCATTATTTTTCCCACATTCACTGCTTCTCTCTTTACTCCCAGTAAACCTAGCTTCCTTTAGCTTTCTCTACAATTTTATTGTGTCTGACTTTCTTTTCTAGAATTCTGGAGATATCTATGAATGTAGCATTGATAACAGATACATCATTACACCAGATGAAATGAGTTACCCTAATTGTTCCAGTCTGGATAATAGTGTTCCTGAACATTCTGAGAACCTACCACATGACCACTTACCTGCTATGTGGACTCAAGACCAGCTTCTTCTCAAATTGCAGGACATCCAGCAACACTCTGTGCAATCTGGGAAAGTAAGTTTAAGGTGGAATCCCAGTTCTAGTTCGATATAACAGATGTCTTAACAAATGCAGGACAGCGCAACACAATCAATGCCATCAGGTTGTATAAAATTGGTATTGATAAAGAAAATGTTAATTTCTCATTATTTTACAACAAACTAGAAAAAAAAAGTCACTCATATCTCCTAGGATCAGGGAGCTATTTCCTTATCCCTATATTTAACATGTGTTTGTGAGATGTGAACAATCAAATTAAATGTAGAAATTCACACCTCTTTATCCTGTAACTGGGCGCCTCCATCTTAGCGCCCTGTCAATCATTGTTAAAAGCTCCGCCCTTTGCATCTGGCAGTCAGCACAGAGAGAGCACCCAGAGAGGAGGCGAAATGAAACAATGTTTCTATGTCCTCTTCATTTGCATTGTGTGCCCTGGCATGTGCCAGATAAAAAGGAAACAGAACATCTCCTGAAAAAAAGGTTAACATGTAGGTGATTTCAGTCTTTTATTCAATGGCGCCAGCTCAGAGTAATCACAATAAAACCCAACATTTATTGTGTCTGACTTTCTTTTCTAGGATTCTGGAGATAGCTATGAATCTAGCAGTGATAACAGATTCATTGTGACACCAGATGAAATGAGCCAGCCTAATTGTTCCAGTCTGGATAATAGTGTTCCTGAACATTCTGAGGACCTACCACATGACCACTTACCTGCTATGTTGATCCAGGATCAGCTTCTTCTCAAATTGCAGGACATCCAGCAACACTCTGTGCAATCTGTGAAAGTAAGTTTAAGGTGGAATCCCAGTTCTAGTTCGATATAACAGATGTCTTAACAAATGCAGGACAGCTCAACACAATCAATGCCATCAGGTTGTATAAAATTGGTATTGATACATAAATGTTACTTCCTCACTATCAGTATGACTGAGGAAGGGGGAGGTATCCAGGTACTTGGAAGAATCTCACTGGTTTGCCATTAAATCAGGGAGAACAGAAGGACACTCTAATAGTAATCAATGTAACTACTACAGTGAGCTATAATGGTTATGGTGCTTACAGTTCCCCTTTAATCATTATTTTCCCAAATTCACTACTTCTCTCTCCACTCCCAGCAAACCTAGCTTCCTTTAGTTTTCTCTACAATTTTATTGTGTCTGACTTTCTTTTCTAGAATTCTGGAGATATCTATGACTGTAGCATTGATAACAGATACATCATGACACCAGATGAAATGAGTCACCCTAATTGTTCTAGCCTGAATAATAGCGTTCCTGAAAATTTCGAGGACCTACCACATGGCCACTTACCTGCTATGTGGATTCAGGATCAGCTTCTCAGAATGCAGGACTTCCAGTATCGCTCTGTGCAATCTGTGAAAGTAAGTTTAAGGTGGAATTCCAGTTCTAGTTCGATATAACAGATGTCTTAACACATGTAGGACAGCACAACACAATCAATGCCATCATGTTGTATAAAATTGATATTGATACAGAATTGGTAATTCCTTGGTATCAGTATGACTGAGGAGGGGGAGGAAATCCAGGTATTTGGAAGAATCTAATTGGTTAAACATTAAACCAGGGAGAACGGCAGGACACTCTAGTCACTATAACCACTACAGCGAGCTAGAATGGGTATGGTGCTTACAGTTCCCTTTTAATCATTATTTTCGCACTTTAACTGCTTCTCTCTTCACTCTCAGCAAACCTAGCTTCCTTTTCACTACCCCGTGCTTCCTTTCCTTTATTGATCAATATGTTTCAGACTCAATCGTACAAACCCCCAACACCGTGTGTGAGCTTTCTAGTGGAGATTATGGCTGATATCCCTTTATAAAAGGAGAGCGGGTTATGGCCTTCACAGTTTGCTCCATACATAGTCTCTGCTGCCTTGTCAAATTAAAATAAACACACATTTTAAAAAAATGAAAAGAATCATATAAAAATGATAGAAAGTATGAAATGTATACGTTAATTTGCATTTCTTGATCAATTTAGTTTGCTGAATTCCGGGTTTAGTAAATAAATCAGAGCGTTTGATGGTTTATCAAAGGGTAACAATCAGTTCCTAGGACGTTTAATATTATATTTACTTATCCCTAAATTCAATGACTATCTGTTTGTGAGATGTGAACGATAAAATTAAACGTAGAAATCCACACCTCTTTATACTGTAACTGGGCGCCTCCATCTTAGCTCCCTGTCAGTCATTGTTAAAACATAGAAACATAGAATGTGACGGCAGATAAGAACCATTCGGCCCATCTAGTCTGCCCAAAATAATAAAATAACAGAGAGAGAAATAAAAAAAAAGCTCCGCCCTTTGCACCTTCAGCACAGAGCGATCATACAGAAAGGAGGAGAAAGGAAACAATGTTTCTATATGTCCTCTTCATTTGCATTGTGTACCCTGGCTGTGCCAGAACTAAACAAAGAAAACAGAACATCTCATGAGAAACTGTTAACATGTCTGTGAATTTCAATTTTTTATTCAATGGCGCACTTTCTAGAGAAGTGACGATAAAACCCTTTTATCGTGTATGACTTTCTTTTCTAGGATTCTGGAGGTAGCTATGGATGTAGCATTGATAACAGATTCATCATGACACCAGATGAAATAAGTGAACCAAATTGTTCTAGTCTGGATAATAGTGTTTCTGAAAATTCTGAAGACCTATCACATGACTACTTACCTGCTGTGTGTACTCAGGGTCGGCCTACTCTCAGAATGCAAGACTTCCAGCTTTGCTCTGTGCTGGGGAAAGGGCAATTTGGGAAAGTAAGCTTATGGTGGAATTCGAGTTCTAGTTCGATATAAAAGATGTCTTAAATTCAGGATAGCACAACACTTTATTCTTTAATTTCAGGTTCTGCTGGCCGAGCACAAGGAAACAACCAACATGTACGCCCTGAAATTCATAAAAAAAGTTAACTTAGAATCACCACATCAGTTTAACAAGTCAGTGAATGCAGTAATGAATATCTTGTGTTTGTGAAGAGGACCATGTCCTGTTTCTGTGGGGGATTTTTTTATTTGATTTTACAGTCGAAAAAATAAACTTTTAACTTTTCCTTTCCAGCCTTCTGAGTGAGAAGCGGATATTCCAGACAGTGAGCAATAGGCGGCACCCATTCCTTATGAACTTGTTTGGGTGTTTCCACACCCGAGATCACGCCTGCTTTGTTATGGAGTATGCAGCAGGGGGCGACCTTCTTACATGCCTTGATAACAACCATGGCCCATTTCCAGAACCCAGAGCAGTGTGAGTATAAGCAGTGTTGTGTCCATTTTTCGATATCTCATCCAATGTTCTACAGATGGTGGCTTGAGCTGGGCTACACCTTCCATAACGTCTTGTAAGATTATGAATTAATTCTGGGATATCACACTTTGTTTAAATTCTGTGTTTATTTAGTTTAGAATGACTTCATACATTGATTTATATCCTATGAGCTGCTGTATATAGCTTTACCATTATGTGTCAATGCTGGATCAGAGCAGTTACTTCTGACCACATACACCGCTGTCTGCACCAACTATGTCTAATGACTCTGCAAGTATCGGCATTGGTGAATGGAACCCGCTGTAAGTGATAAACGACCAATCACCATTGTATCAGCTCATACATAACACACTAGCAGTGAAAGACATGAGGAAACCTGTAAATTAATGTACTCTGTCAGAATACAGAGTTAGGATGTATGGAATAAAACCATTTAATCGTGCAAACACTGTATCTTCTAGAAAGCCATTCATTTATTTCTTTTTCCCCAGATTCTATTCTGCATGTGTCGTCCTTGGACTTGAGTATTTACACGAACAAAACATCGTCCACAGGTAAGCCTATAAAAAAACAAAACTACACGTTATTTAAGTGTTATTTATGGCACACAGTCTGTCTAACCCAGTTTATTTATCTAGATTAAGTTATTAATTTTAACCATTTAAAAAGCCTGAACAATGAGAGCTATTCTTAGTGCTTCTAGTGTTATGTAAAATGAATAAAACTTCCTTTTCTACATTTTAATCTAGAGATCTGAAGCTTGAAAACATTGTTCTGGATGAGAGAGGATTTGCGAAGATAACTGACTATGGTCTCTCTAAAGAAGGTAAATAGAATGCTCTAATATAATTTTGGATACAAAAGGGTCACATTTACTAAGTTCAAATCAGTTATCTTTCATTTAAACAGCCATTTAACATATAATAGGATGTCTATAAAAGGTGTGCTTAAGTCCAAAACTGACATAAAGTAACTTTCTAACATTAAAAATAAGAGCATTTATTTTAAATTTAAATTATTCCTAAGTGAGCCTCCCGTTTCTTTTCCAGCCATTTTTTATGAATGGGCAGTGACTGATTTCTGAGAGCGTCAGCTGACCGCTCCCAGCCAATCAGCGGTCCCCCTGCCCAGTTTCACGCTCTAAAACTGTAATTTCAGAAGCCGGATGCCGCTGGAGGGGAGTAGTGATCGGAGATGGAGGCTCACTTTGAGATTAAACAGTTCAAGAACGGTTTGATGACTTGAGATAGGAGTGCGCCCTGGAGGCCTCCTGGCACCATAACAACTTCAATTACGTTTTTATGGTGCCCGGAGTGTGCCTTTAAAGTCTTTGTGACTTTAAGTGTAGTGTAAGTGTCTAAAATACTTCTGTTTTTTTTTGTCAAGCTAAATTTTAATATTTTCCTGATAGCCAGACCCAGCCCCAGTGCTGCCACTGCGATAATTGAAATTTTAACATTTGCATTATTGGTATAAATCCAAATTCGGACGGAAATGATATGAGAAGTTGCAGCAGCAACAAACCTAAAGAAAGTCATATCCAAATGTAAATTGCTAAAACTGAGCAACTATCCTCAACTTATATACAATTCTATTTTCACTATTTCTGAGGAATTGGATACGGAGATAGAACAAACAGCATTTGTGGAACTCCTAACTATCTGGCTCCTGAAATGGCCAAGCGCAAGACATATACAAGATCTGTGGACTGGTGGAGCTTCGGAGTGGTTATTTATGTAATGTTAACTGGAAACGTAAGAACAATCTTTCATTAAGAATTTACAGACAGATTTCTGTTTAGAAAATATAAAGAGATTCTGCCAAGTATTTGCTTTTAACATGACAGGCGCATAGTCGACATATGGGCAGGTGGAATTCCCTTCCAAAACTTACCCCAAAAACGCACTGACACTGATGTATGGGTCAATATGTCCACAGCTTTATTAATATGGATAACAATAAAGTTAAAGTCATTGCCCAGCCCCCATCCCGCCATATAACATCATATGTCCCCAAATAAAAGGCAATGACCCATTCTTTCTGTAAATATAAATAACATCAACAACATTAATAACCAACATGATAAACATAAGTGCCAGACTTTGTTAAATAAACAGTTATTTTAGTGCTGAACAATTTTGTTAGTTTTATTTAAAACATCCAATCTAGGCAAAAAATATAGGGGGTTTAGTTACAGTATATGATCATACATTGCATAAGCCTAAAACAACGCCAATGTACCCCCAGACTTTGTTAAATAACCACGGTAGGGGAATACCCGGATACCCCTACCAAACCCCAGGTTCTGAGCCACCACCGAGCTCGAAACCTACCAAGGTTCATAACGAACCATTTAACCAAACTCTTCACCAACAGCCTAACTGCTCTATTCTATTTACACTACCCCAGAGCTAGTTTGTCCTCTAACTTTTCTCTCTCTAGCCCCGCCGCTGTGACCAAAAGGGGGCTAACACCCCTTACAGTTACAAATGGGAGGTTGGAGGTACAACTTAGGCTAGGTAAGCCGATTAAAAGTGCTTGTCACTAATATGGCGTCCTATTTATACTGGGCCAACCCCCTTTTACACTCTCACTCCACTCCCACATGGGGCCTTCCCCCCCATGCCCGCCTCCTAGCTCTGTCAAGTCCCTATTCCATTATTTTTGTTGGCCTCCCCTCTTCCAATAATTCCTCTCTCTCCAACATTCACACCCACATTTGTATACAAACTAACATATCTCACCCCAAAACAGACACCGCCAATTAATTAACTCCTCCCTTCCAAACACAGACCCCACATTCCCTGACCGTTATTCTTGCACTCGTTTACCTGTCATTTTTATATTCCAACAGTTCTTTACAATGAACCCATCCTTATCCACATCACATCTTGCATTCTCCTGCAAATTAACCCCTTCCCATAATAGATCCCCAGACAGCTACATTCCTAATTGGTATCAATATCCTGTAATTAACCTCTGACCCTTGGTTCCCCAAAAAACGTTGACTGCCAAATCACTCTGTGATTAGGTTCCAACCTTCCCAGACAGTGAAATAAATCTCTTACCAATGAATTATCTCCATTTTCTGCTCTGCCCCTGGTCCAGTTACTTAGTGCTCCGGTGGCTGACATTGTGTGTGTACATCGTGTGTAACCCTCTGTATACCACTTCTTTGTGAATACCTATACGGTCAGAGGATGTTTAGTAGTTCTGACTCTAGTAAACATCCCACCTACTAACTTGTTTAAATGTTTCGGATTTAACTTTTTTGTCTCCTGACAAAAAGAAAAAAGCCATTGTAACCCAATGTTACTGTACAAAATAAAACAAATAATACTAGATTACAATTTAAAAAGTAAATAAATAAAAACACCAGGAGAAAATTAATTATACTATAGACCATGGGTGCCAAAAAGGTAGATCTTCCATGATGCTTTTTCATTGTAAAGGTATGCAAAGCATGATGGGAGTTGTTGTTAGAGAGCATCTGGGGATCTTCCTTTTAGGCACCCCCTGATACAGACCTTCCAGTCCTTTGTCTCAGAGCTCAAAAATCGATATTCCCTGCGGTCTTGAAAATTGCTCAGCGTATTGAAAATTCCAGCCAATCACAGTGCATCTCCGGACGCGTATCACTCCCCTGCGGTACGCCTGATGATGTATTTCACGACAGCGTTCAGTTATCGTTCACATATTATTTACACTTGCACACACATGGTTGGTGAGTTGTGATATACACATTGTGTCATCTGTACTACGAAGATTATAAAACCCTAACTATTAATTTATTGCTCAGCGGTTGTGGTTTTTTTAAATGTATTTTTTCTCTAGTTACCCTTCGAAGGCCGTGATGTTGAGACGCTTTATGCTAAAATTGCCAAATGTAAACTAAAGATTCCAGAGTCGTTGTCTAGTGAAGCCACTTCAATACTGAGTAAGGTAAGATGTCACGCAAATTTAATATATCATACAAACCAAGCTGAAAACGTCCATTATGCTGGTAATGAAACATTCATTATTACAGAGTATTAAAACAAAACACGGAATATCTGCTCACTTATTCTATGACTCCATAAATGATGCAATATTACATCTGACACTCATTCTCTATGGTTATGTGACTTACAGCGCCCACTAGTGGCTTGTATAAAAACATAGTAGCAGTTACAAACCATGTACAAACACCACCACGATTTATCCTGGCATAAAACATTGCATTGCCATCATTCCCTTCAAACAGTGAGATTAATACCCACTATATGTTTATTTATAATTAATAGCGATAATACCCATTTTTACTTTACCTTTGTTCTGTCCCTTTGAGTATAACGCTGAAGACTTAAATACGAAAAGACAAAAATAATGCATTTCACATGAACAGTACTGAGTATTGAACATCTCAAAATACACTCAGGGCTGGTGCAAGGGTTCTTGGCTACACAGGCACAAATCCATTTAGCACCCCCCTCCTCCCCCCTTCCCCCCCCTTCCTTCACACTGTTCTCCCCCTGCTTGTGCAGTTCTCACACAGATATCTTGTATCCAGGATGGAGCCGCACACCCACAGGACCTCCAACAGGGCGCCACTTACTGTTAATGCTCCTGATGTTTAGCATTAAAATTAACAAAACCTATTTTACAAAATTCCTTTTACAGTTACTGACTAAAAAACATGAGAAACGTCTAGGATCCAGTGAGAAAGACGCAGAGGAAGTGAAGGACCATCCTTATTTTCAAGTACGTACATATGTTTTTTTGTTTTGTGTTTTTTACTGTGGTTTTGTCACTAAATATTTGTGTGATTTTAGGAAAAATAAAATCTTTGTAATATACTGAAATTCTGACACAGCCAAAAGAGAACATAAGAAAACTAGAGAATCCTATTGGGATCTAAAAAAAAAATGTGGCTTTTTGGGCACGTTAGCTGTTATCTTGTATTTGATACAGTCTTGGTTTGTACATGATGCTCATTATTTTACACATTCCTTTCCAGCATATAGATTGGAACGCATTTTTATTACAAAATGTGACACCTCCATTTGTGCCAACCATCAACGGAGCCGAAGATGTCAGCAACTTTGATGCGATATTCACCTCGGAAGCGCCTATTATAACTCCGCCAGCAAGACGAAGAGTTCCACCGTTAATGGAGAAAAAGACATTTGAGGATTTTTGTTGGAGGGCAGATTGGAGTTAATCTCAGTTATGATCCACAATAAGAATTACTGGAGAGAAAATTAGCATATATATTCTACCAATGAAATCATTTATTGAAAACTAAAGTGAGAATTCAAACTGAATTTAAAATTTAGGGTAAAAAAAAAAGAAAAAGAAAAAAACACCCCCTAAGTCAGCTACGATTCCAGATTGGCTACTTTGGCCTTAAATTTGCAAATCACTTTGATTTCTCATTTTTGGAAATAACCCTGCAAATAGTTGAATTGTGTACACGTGTATTATTATTGTTGTTAAAATAAAATAAAAAATTTGACATTAAAAAAAATGTAAATTTAGACGTGAATCTTTGTGTAGCGGAAGCAGGAGGAATAGTACCAGGCTTAGGACCCAGACCTATTCCATCCAGCATTCGTCCCTTCTCCTAAGGGGAAATATAAAAGAGAGTCAGCCTTTCCTTCCAGCAATACCCGATTAGTAATGCCAGTGATCTTCCAGACAGAGAGCCAACCTTTCCTTCCAGCATTACCCGATTAGTAATGTCAGTGATCTTCCAGACAGAGAGCCAGCCTTTCCTTACAGCAATACCTGATTAGTAATGCCAGTGATCTTCCAGACAGAGAGCCAGCCTCTTCTTCCAGCATTACCCGATTAGTAATGTCAGTCAGGCCCGGACTGGCCATCAGGCACACCGGGCAAATGCCTGGTGGGCCGCGGTGGCCATGGGAGGTCTCAGGATCTCCCCTGCCGGTCTATGCAGGGCCGGCACTCTCCTAGCGCCGGCCCCGCTGTTTGCCACAACGGGCTGGTGGGGAGATCAAAGCTCTCCCTCACCGGCCCAAATGCGGCCGCCGGCGGGGAGAGAGGGAGGGAGACAGCCGGATCTCGCGAGAGTTCACTCACCCACGAGGACCACCAGGGAACACAGCCACCCAGTCACCAGTGTGCCGGTCCCCCCCCCCTCCCAGGCTAAAGGTAAGAAGGGGACGACGACGACATAATGCCTGTTTTTTGTTTTTGTTTATTTACTCCCCCCCCTAAACACACACACAATAACATTTATGCAGCACTCTCACACCCATCACTCACACACAGCACTCTCACACCCATCACACACAGCACTCTCTCACACACACAGCACTCTCTCACAGCACCACACACAGCATCCCTCACATACACGCAGAACCCCCCCCAACACATACACAACACTTCCAAATATATATATATATATATATATATAAAAAAAATATACACACACACACACACACACACACACACACACTACACTCTTAACATACACACTCTGGATCCCCTATACACACACTAGATTCCTTGTAAGCAAACACACACTACATCACCTATACACACACACTATAGCCTGTATGCACACACTTGCTATATCCCCAATACACACATTCTCTACAGCCCATAGCCACATATGCATCACATTACACCACAAACACAACACGATTAAAACCAACCTTATTACACAATACCACACCACGACCAGCTCACTCTACACACACGCAATACCACACGCAGGCTCCAAACACATGGACAATACTCTTTCCTGGCCCTTTTGTCTCCTGGTTTATAGAGACACCAGAGACAAGTTGCAAGGAAACACAGCGCAAGCATGTTATTAAATTTGCTTGCACTGTGTAGAACAAATACAGGACTTTTTTCTCATGCTAGAGCTCTTTAGCAGAGCTCTGCGCATGGTCTGCCCTGGAAGAGCATTGAACCAACATGCTCACTTTGAGAGGGGGCGTGTTTGTCACAATTCAACATGCTAAAACAAGATATGCTTAAGAGTCTTGAAGACATAAAACAAGATACTAAAAGAATTGCTATATCAGTGCAAGCTTTGGAAAAAAAACTTGTTTTGTTTGACAACCAATTAGGCACAGTTAAGGAAACAGTGCAGTCATTAACAAACAAAACTTTAACTTTGGAACACAAAATAGCAGCCCTAGAAGATAGATCAAGACAATTTAATTTAAGACTTAGAGGTATACCTGAAGATATAACAACGGAGAAATTAAAAGACTATCTATGCAGCTTATTTAAAGAAGTCTCTCCTGAAATAACTGACCATCAAATAGAAAAATACCACCGGATAGGAAAACCTAACATAATTGCAGCACATTTTCCAAGAGACGTTATAGTGAGCTTCTGCTCACTTTCAGCTAAAAACAACTTGATTAAAGCCAGACGTATTAACCCCCTAGAAAATTCTGCCTATAAAGATATATACTTTTTGCAAGATCTATCTTACTTTACTAGAACATGGAGGAAGTCTTTCTCAACTCTTACGGATTTTTTGAGGAAAAATGACATTAGATTTCAATGGAATACTCCGGCTTCTTTGAAATTCATTTGGAAACAAGAAAGACTTTCCTTTACCGATTCAGATGAAGCAAAGAGTTGGTTAGCAAGAATTCAAATATGAAAATAACAAGACTGTGGAAGTAGAACGAATAATTTTTTTCTTTTTTATTTTCTTTTATTTTTTTTTTCTTAATAAGCAGAAGAACCTATTCATATCTTACGATATATGTAATCTTTAAACAATAATTATAAGAAAGAATGGAATTTATTACTATAAGGATATATCAGAAAGGTATTTCTTATATCTTTATGTGCATATGGTTGGAGTTTAGGTTATCTGTAATGCACAAAAAAAAAATATTATATGAAAATAATGTGTTGCATTATAAGGATAAAAGGTTGGTAGAAATTTTTCTTTTTTTTAAAATAAAATTAGTAGATGGGTCTAAGACAATAAAAGGCTATTATAGACATTCTTACACAAATTAAGCAGAGAAAGCATTTTAAAAAGTTTCTATTTATTATAAGAATATATTAGAAAGGTACCTCTTCTCTTATATCTCTATGTCTATATAGTTGGAGTCTAGGATATCTGTAATGCACAAAAACAATATATGAAAACAATGTGAAGTCGATGAAGTAAAAGGGGACATAAAGTTATTATAAATATTCGCTCGCATATTAGTTAGGAAAAGAGAGAAGAAAGAAAAAGAAAAGAGAAAAAAAAAAAAGGAATTACTCACTAGGGTGTTAATATATGGCTATATGGGAATGACGTGATAGTCTATGTCAATAAAAAGGATACTTGAAACATTCTTCACTTAATTTATACCTATTTTAGATTAATTTCATTCAAACTGTTTATTAAGGTTTTTTATTTTATGTTTAAATTAGAAGAATCTGACTAATATGTGTGATAGATAGAAAAGATGGACATTGAGATGGGTCTTTCAAGATTTGAAGATTGTTTATTTATACTTTAGGAATCAGAAGCAAAAGAAAAAGTGAAGTGCTTTTTTTTTTTTTTTTTTGTAGTTTATGACTTACAAAGAGTTGATGAAGTAAAAGAGGATAAAAAGTCACTATAATTATTTGCACGTATAGTAGTAAGAAAAAAATTATTCACTAAGGTGTTCATTTTTAGAAATAGAGGAATTTATTCTTAGCTTATGACACATGTAATTTATAAACAATATTAATAAGAAACAACAAGATGGTTCAATAAAGACAAATTTGATAGACACTATATATGTTTATATGTGCACAAGTTTGAATTAGAAAAATTGTATGGATAACACATGAAGAGAAGGAAAAAAAGATAAGAAAAGGGAAGAGAAAGGGAAAAAGAAAGGATACACGCAAACAATGTTATAGAACACGTTGCTAAATAGCTTATTAGAAATATTTTCCACTTAATCTATATTTATTCTAGATTAATTTTATTTAATTGGTTGATCAAGGTTTTTTTATTTTTTATTTTATGCTTATACTAGGAAGACCCGTCCAAAATGCGTGACAGATATAATAGATGAATATTGAGATGAGTCTTTTAAGATTGAAGATTACTCATTTATACTTTAATGTATACAGGCTAGAACAACTAGGAGTGGAGAGGGAGGAAAAAAAAAAAAAGGGGGAAAAGAGAAGAGAGGTTTTTTTTTTCTTCTTCTTCTTTCTACTTCTTCTTGTTGTAAAACAGATTAAGGGGTTTCACTATGCAGTATCACCCTAATCCGGACAGACCTACTTAGTGTCTATTAATTAGACACAGGATTAGACTGACTCCCCTGTTGGTGAGTTAACAGTCTATGTGTTTAAGGAGGATTATACCCTCCTATAGTTTTAGATATATGTTTTTTTGTTATATGTATGTTTGTGCAGCAATGGAGGAAAATAGGGAAGATTACTATGTCGAGATGAAAGGAAAGAGGTCTGAGAAATTCTAATGATAAGAATGTTAATTCTTAATGTCCAAGGTATGAACACAACAACAAAAAGGTCTTTAATATATAACTATTTAGTTACTGAACATATTGATTTGGGATTTTTACAAGAAACCCACTGGAGGCAATCAGATAAACAAACGTGGGGTGGAAAAAAATTCCCGCTTATTATACAGGCCTCAAATAGAGATAAAAAAAAATGTGGTGTAGCCATAATATTCGGTGAAAAAATAGAGGTAGAAATAATTCAACAATTACAAGATGCAGAAGGTAGATTTTTGATAATAATATGTAAAATTAATTCTAAGATATTTACACTTTGTAATGTTTACCTCCCAAATTATTCACCAGCTTCTTACTTAAGATCTATTCTAGAAAAAATAGAAGAAGTAAAAGTAGGAAATTTAATATTGGCTGGAAATTTCAATGAGATTATCGATCCACAATTAGACAAAAAAAAACTATGAAAGGCGTTAAAATAAATAAGATGGTAGTTAAACAAGCTAAATCCTTAAAAAAACATAAAAGATGAATTTAATCTGTTCGATATCTGGAGAATCCACAATCCAAATTTGAGAGATTATACACACTTCTCTAAAGTCCACTTTTCCTATTCAAGGCTGGACATGATTTGGATAGATCCCAATCTTATTGATAAAGTTCAAAGAGTAAATATAAACAAAATAGTTTGGACAGATCACAATGGTGTAATATGTGTAATAGAAGTTGGAAAAAATTTAAAAGAGCC